TTTCCAAAAGGTTATGGGTGTCTTTCTCTAAGGGCAACACGAACAACTAGAGATGAGGCCATGCCCATGAGGGCCAGGAGTTCAGTTTTGCATTTTGACAAGCTTTTCCAATGGAGAGAAAACAACAGTATTCAGAATAAACACATGAAAAGCTGTGTGGAACAGTTGTGATGAAGGGTCCCTTGATAACATCAGCTAGGCTGCTCCTATCAAGGAGTTTCTCCTCCAACAGGACCCCTGTCTTCATTTTCACCTCCAAAACAGCTGAATGTTGCTCGTTTCAGCTGTTCCAGAAGGTCAGACTACCCTCAAAACAGACCACCACATACCCTTAGTTCTTTGTATGATGACAATTAATCATGAGTATAACCCTAAAAATCAGCAGACACCCAAGTCTGGAAGGCTGCACACCTCTCCCAGCAGCACAGTTCCCCAAGACCCAGGTTCTCCAGCCAGGGAGAAAAGCCTCCATTAATGAACTCCAGTAGCAGCATGGCTTTGGCATTTCCAACAACACAAAAGGAATGATCATTCACTGACCTAGTAAAATATAAAAGCCCACATGAAGTTGTGGCTAATTGGGTTAAGTTTATAAATTCTCACTTAGCACCTAAATATTTGATATTAAGGAAAGAAAAGAACCTATGAACAGCAGGAACCAGTCCTGATGGGAGCTGCTGTAGTATGGAAAACAGCAGAGCATTCAGCAATTTGGCTGTGAGCTCTTGTTCAGAAAACAGTGTCTGGCACTAATAATCCAGTCCCACAGAAAGGGCTCCACAGGAAAGTTATTTACCATCTCAAAAAGGCTGTATGATTTATATGTGTTGTCACTGTGTATGCCAGAAAACTGATGAGTGATTACCACATATTTACTTGAGGATCAGGTATCCAGCCTGAATTAACTGGATTAAGTCATCTAGAATTTCTTTACCATTTACAGCACAACAGAGTATAGCATTTGGTTTAAGTCAATAAGGAACTTTTAAATGGAATCCAGTAAGAACCAGAGTATGTTAAAGCCACTTGAATTAAATCCTTATTATTTATCACGATTATTCATTGCACAAACATCTGGATTCCACGACCATAATGTCATAGAATATATTAGTGGGGAAGAACCAAATAAATATACAAATAAAGTCTAGTTCATTAAACATTTGCAAAGTATCCACTCCCAGCTCCTAGAGGATAGGTATTCAGCTTTTCCCTTGTGTTGTTTAAACACAAGTGTGTGATTAAAAAGTGTCTCAGTTCTGCAGCTCCCTGTGCCGAGGTCACAAGAAACCTGACTGAGATACTGCATGCCCTCCACCTCTGGAGACAAACCTCCTGTGAAGCAGGAATGGGAGTGGGCCAGGGTAAGGCAGGGACATGAAAGCACTCAGGAGTAAAAAAGCTTATGAGAAGAGCATCACCAGAGAGAGCGAAGAGAGTAAACTCACCTTGGACAAAGAATTTCTCAGCCATAACAAACAGTATCACACACAAAAGCTCCTGCTTGTGCTACAGTGTGGTCTGACCAATAAATACTTACTCATTTTAGGCTTGGAGATACTTGCAAAATCTGAACATGCATAGTTTCTTTTCCAAGCCACTTACTTCCCAGCTCAATTAAAGCAGACAGGGCCTTGCTGGAGAAGCTTTCCCCACTTGAACCTCTGATTGCTTTAAGAGATACATAGCAATGATCTATTAAATACTGCTCAATTTATGAATATTTCATTGACTACACCCCCTCTATTTGAAGTTTATGAAGTAACTGCTATAGTAAAACTCAAAACTGCGACACTGTGCCGGATTTATCCCCAGCCAGCTCCCGGCACCGGGCCAAGAATGGGCTGCTCCTGGAAAGCAGGGCAGCTTAGGGCCGATGCTCTACAGCACAGGCTCTCCAGCATTGAGGGCAGGAGCAAGGACAAGGGAGAGGTTTTCCATGTGCCTTCCAAAAGGAATTTATTCTTTTGAAGGTTCCAGGGATGAAAGACAAGAGATACAGGGGTACAGCAACAGGGGGAGGAGCAAGGGGAGTGTACAAATAATAAACCAATAGGGAAGACCTAGGGGAGCAGCACAAGGTGGGGTTGTATAAGATATAAATCAATGACACATGGTCCAATGGGGCTTGGAGGAATAGGGGAATTCCAAAGGGGGAGGTGCAGGCAGGGGGTTGGCACAAGGGAGGATTGACGACTTAATGGGAGGGGGAACAGAGAACATTCCGGAACAAGAGGCAGGTACCAGGGTGGATTGGCAACAGGGGTAGGAGGGCACAACTGGGACTAAAGTATTAACATGGTGGGGGTACAACTTAACAATAAAGAAGATAATTGAATCAAATATAATGAACAAAAATGCACCACAACAAAACCACTTTACTGTTAAGTCCACAATATATTCTTTTGAGTTTATGTATGAATGTGCCTGGGTTTCCCCCTGCAGCAAAGAGGTGAGCTAATGTGCCCAAATCAGCCATGAACATTTCCCACTGCAGAAAGCCCATAATTTTATTTTATCTGTGTATAAGTTTATTTACATCCCTACTCTAAGTGCCACTGAAGTACTGCATCATAAATTGTTTGTAGTGGGTTTAATGTTGGTTAAATGCTTATGTACCCACTAGAATTATTTACTTATTTTCTGTTGGGAGATACGATTAGGAGGAGAGCAAATCAGGCTCAAAACTTAAAAGGGTATAAAGAAGAGTTTATTAACAAGATTAAAAAGAAAAATAATAAGAAATCAGAATAAAACCTTCAGAATACTTCTCCTCCTCCCCACACCCTCTTTCTTTTCTCACTGACAACACAAAGAGGTAAAACTTGGGACTTTCAGTCAGTTCACCACTTCTAGAATAGTCTTTCTTCAGTTTTCTTAGGGAAAGGAGTTTCTTTTGCCATAATATGGAGACTTTGCCATAAGAAACAGTTCTCTCCTGTCTTTCAATTCCCACGAATAGCAGCCACCCAGAAATCTGTATTCGTGAAATCCTTCTCATTTTTTTTTTTGCAGGTTTCCCACAGCTGCATTCATGGGCCATGTTAATTCATGCCCGTGAATTAGGCATTAGTTAGGGTAGCAGCAGGCTGCTGTCTGAGGCTGCAGCAGGATGTAACCAGAAATATTCTATTACCAGCTGTTCAAACCAGGTGGGGAGGTGTTCTTTCTCTTCCACCACCCATCCTCCCTCCAGGGGGATCTCTTCTGTTCATGGGCCATTGAGTCTCACTGCAGGACTGATAAAATCACATCATCCCATTGTGAGATGCTCCACCAGGGGGAGGAGCCCAGCATTCCTACCTGGATATAATCTGAGACTTGGAACACCACAGGCAGCCTTTCCCCACTGGATTCCCAGAGAAGCACAGGACCCATCTGCATCACCGGACCTTCAGAGGAAAACTACATCCTTCTATGGGATCACTGCTCCAACAGAACCACGTCTGTCATTCCAGGAAGACTGCAGCCACCATTTAAATGGACTGCTACCAACACCCTGACCAACAGGGAGTCAGGCTGTATTCTGACTCTGCCAGTGGTTTTGCACTACTGCATTTTATTTTAATTTTCCTATTAAGTTGTAGTTTGTTTTTTTCATTTATGCATAATAGGAAAGAATTGTTATTCCTACTTCTGTAGCTTTGCCTGAGAGCCCTTTAATTTCAAAATTAAAATAATTTGAAGGGAGGGAGTTTACATTTTCCATTTCAAGGGAGGCAGACCTCGTGTCTTTTCAGACCAAGACAGATGCAAAGGAGGGCACTTTCCAACTAACCTGAGGCAGCACATCCCCCAGAGGCAATGCTGGATAGTGTAAAATCACCAGATAGAATAGAAACAGGAACATTTTGGACACAAGAAACTGAGTAGTCACCAGTGTAATCAAGGAAAAAAACCCCAATATACTGGAGGTTATTCTCTCTGTAATTTCTCTGCTTCTTTTACCCTCCTACAAGCATCCATTCTGCTCCTTTCCCCTTCTGCAAGAGCAGAAGCCTCCCTTCCACCTCCCAGCTAGCGATCCTCCCTCTTCCTCCCTCCTTTCCTGTTCCTGGAGGTTCCTAGCACGGAGAGCAAGAACCATTTTAAGGGTGGTGTAGGAAGACCATGTACAAATTAAAGCATTTTACCTGCCCAGAACATCCTCCTGGCTTTTGGGAAGGTCGAGGAGGAAAATAGTGCTTTCAGCCAGGAACAGCAGGGCTCCCACACAGCAAGACAAGCTGTGTCTGCACCTTGGCTGCCACTTTGTCCAGAGAAATTCCTCCTGCAGCTCAGCAGGACATGAAGGCTCCTGGGCAGTGGCACCAGCACAGCCAGAGGGGCTGACCCAAGGTCTCTGTCAGTCCCCTCCCTTCACCTCATCACTTACCTGAGTCCTCCAGCAGCACCTGCACGGCCCCTCCCTCCCTCCCTCCTCCAAGTGCGAGCTGCAGGGATGCTTTGGTGAACTCACAGCTTTGTCACTCACTGCTTAAACATCTTGCTGTTCTCACTCAGGATGCTGTGAGACACTTGTACCACCATTCTCTTAGCCCTAACTTACTTTCATCTTACAAAACAGGCACGTGGCTCAGCTCAGTAACTGCAGAATGTTTTCACACAACAAAGCACTTCTGAGCATGAAACAAGCAAAAAAATTCTGTTAAATTATTCTGTAATATTTGGTGTAACAACTGCTGTTGCATGCAAATGTGTTCACTGCAGTGACTGAAAAAGAAAACTAAGACTGTACAGTATCAAAGGTAATTTTAAAAAGATGATAGGTTCCATGAGGTTTAAGGGCTTTTTGCAATGTTGGCTCAAATGTAACAACAGGAATGAGCAGACTGCAGTTTCTACTTGAATATTTCTTGTCCAGGAATCTGTTTTTGTAGCAGAAAAAAAATATTCTCCATCAACTGCACTGGCAGCTTTATCCCTCTGTAATGAACAGGGAAGACATATTACACTGAAACAGCATCCAAAGGCCAATGCAAGGACAACGCACACAACAGATGCTCAGTTTTAGGGTTTATTTCATCTGCTAACATTCATCTTTGATCTAGACAAAAACAATTAGATGATTTTTTAAAATTATATTTTTCTTGTGGAAGAAAAAACCCTTTAGCACTTTTTGTAAGATGCTATAAATAAATATATAGAGCTTTAAGTGTTACTTGGCTCAAGTCAAACCGTTGCCTTTTATTTTTTGTTGTTTTTAAGTTCCTGAAGTGGGGGGGGAAATGCAAACAATATGCATTCAGCCCAATGGAATGAGTCCAGCCACAATCACTTTCAGAGAAGCTGAATCTGTTTGAGCTACAGTATGGAGGATGGAAGGCAGGTGGGAGGACAGTTGTTTATTTTTACCCTCAGTCACACAACTCCTGGAGGAACGGAGTTCCTTGGTAAGTAAAGCACACAAGAAAGGGGAAAGGAAGAGAAAATCCTGCCTGCATTGCCCTTTCCCTGCTCTGTGCAGACTGTGCAGCAGAGAGGAAGGAAGAGACAAAATAAGCAAAGTCCCAGATGAATAGAAATGACAATAAAAAACAAAATCAGATAGCTGTAGGGACAGTGAGAAATCCTCTGCCTGGTGTGTGTAGACTGGCAGAACTACACATAAACACGTAGGAACTTCACATTGAGAGAGGATGAGGATTTTTGTCTTCTCCTTATGGGAAAAAAAAAAAAAAGATTAAAAGGGGCAATAAAAATAAGTTAAATCATATTCCAATATGTACAAAACAAATCATGCTCAGTAAACCCTTTGAATATAAAATTATTCATTATAATACAACTCTCTCAATCCAGTCTCCAGAACAGACACCTGGGGGAATTGAACATGGAGGGGGAATTGTGGGGTTCTGAGGAGACAGACCCATTTGCAAATGTTGGGGTTTTTTTCAGCTTGCATGGCTAAGAATTACTTAGAGCTGGGACAACACAGGCTTTAACACCCATGTGCTTATCAGGGCTGCATTCCCCTTGGTAGAATTCTTGTGGATGGGGTAAAGCAAACAGCCATGGATAGCTGGGATTGTGTGCCCTGTCTTGCCTGAGCTGCTGCTCACTGACCTGTGCTATAAAGGCTTGGAATACTCCTAATCAGGCAGTGAATCCCATGCTCACTTCTGCCTCTGGAACATGACTAAAAAGAGGATGCAGCCAGCCCTGTGATTTGAATCCAGCAGTGTCAGCTGCATGCCAAGCTATAGCTCTGGGAATACAGTATTTAAGCACAGTTTGGGTGGTGAATTCCTGTAGTGCTACCCCTTTTTTGTGATGACTGGAAAAGTCTAGGGCATAGGAGGGGGTTTGGGTAACTCTGAACGCCAGAAAGACACTAGAGATGCTTTTAACCCCAAGACATGAGCCTGGTCAGGCCCTGTGCTGTGATGATATCATCACCTTCTGTAGCTGTCCACTGCTCTCTGTGAAGTGACTTGATTGGCTTAGAGGGAAGACTTCCTAATTGTGCTGCCACTGGGGAGCCCTTCTGCCTTGGTCACACTCAGCAACTGCACTGCTCTGTGTTGCTCTAACAGCCCTGGGACAGAGGAGTCAAATCCTTATTGGGATCCTTCTTATGCTGCTTTGTCATCCCAGTTTTGTAAGCGAGTAAGGGACTGTGGGATGCAAAAACATCAACTGAAATTCTCCTCATTTATTCCAAAATGTTGGGTATAAAGGGAAAAATTCAGACAAGAAATTTGCACAGATCCTTTGCTGACTTTTTGTTTTGTTTTGTTTTGTTTTGTTTTTTTGTTTTGTTGATGACTTTGAACCCCGTGACAGCCTGGGCTGGCAACCTTAGCAGTCAATCCTGCATTCTGTGACCTGGACAGGGTACAAGGTGGCACCTGACTGTCTGGAAAACTTTCAATGAGGCAAACTCCTTCAACAGAGCTAACTAGGATGAGACAAACCAGCAAGAAAATGTTTTCTTCAGCAACAATGCCCACCAAGCAGTGATGCTAAAGCATGACTAAAAGGTGACTAAAAGCAAACTGACATCTTAGCCCTAAGAAGTCAAGAAGTCCCTAAGAGACAAGTCCAATCTCATACCTGCCTGCTCCCAGAACTCTCTTAACCTGACCTGGATCATGATGTACTGACAGACCCCCTGAAGAAATATTTCATGTACTGAAGAAGGTCTTGGTGTGTCTGGAAGTCACAGGAAAAACATTTTGGAAGAAAGGGGCAGATATTGAACAAGAATCTACTATCTGGCCACTACTTCTGCCAGAGTGCCTTAAAGCCATTATTCTCCATTCATTTTAAAACTACACACACACTTTTCATGTTATTGTAGCATCAAAATATCAGTCCTAAAAAGAAAAGAAACAGTACCACTTCAAAGTGTGGTACATATAAATCACAAAAATCTACATTCACATTATGTTAAAAAAGTTCCTTTGCACCCACTAAAGGAAGAAGATAGTGCCAGGTACATCCTGCAACCCATGTTCTGGTGCACACCACTTAAAATAAATTAACACATGGCTCACAGCCAGAGGCAGACCAGCACAGCAGCCAGGGTGAGGGATGGCTTTTGGGTGATCCATTTCCATTACTCAGAATCTGTTTCAAAGTGCCCTATACTTTTCATACCTTGGAGTACCCTTTTAGAGTCCCTAAATTCCTCCCAGTGTAGAGGTGGAAAAACTGAAGCAATTGCTGGGTGCAGAATTTAAATCTAGAAACTTCTGCCTCAGTACTAAGTGAGATCAGCCCTTCTTTTGTGGTTGAAATGAAACTGTTAACCAAAGACAGTTTGCAATATAATTTCATTTCTTCTGCTTGTTACTGCAATATATTACAAAGAAAATGTTGGAACAAGGTCCTCTACTGACATGCTTCTAAGGTCAGAGGCTGCTTCTGATTTAGACAACCCTGAAGACAGATTCATTAACATCCAGCTGGTTACTCAGAGCCTGTAACACAGGGACAGCTCAGGCAGACACAGCCTAATCACAATACTGGTCTGAATCACACACAGTCCCAGCAGTGTGACACCAACAGAGATTAGCTGCAGGAATCACTTGTGCGTTATGGATCCATGACACAGGACACACCCTGAAAAGCTTTTGAGGAAAGGTGGAAACTGTGCATGTGGAACAGTCGCTTTTTCTATATCTCGTGTGCTGGTTTTGTGGGTAAACAGCCTGTAAAGTCGCATTTTTAAAATACAAATGTTTTCTTTAGTTACAGCAAAGTGTAAAAGTGCTGGCAACTAGCAGACACAGCTTCTCCCAGTCTTGGAATTCAGAGATGAGCAAATGGACTTGTAATACCTTCTCTGCCCCCAAGCCAACCACCAAATAAGGCTTCATTTTGCTTCCCAATTTTCATCCAGGAGGAAATGCTTATGTCCAGGCTACACATTTCTGGGAACAGGAGCCATTCTGTGTCAGAAGCACTGACACAGCCTTAAAGACATGGACAACACCAGCACATACTGGTACCAGCCAAACGTGTGGGTGACCATGTCCCGCTGTGACTGCAGACAGGTGAGTGTGTGCTTGTGCCCTCTGCAGCAGCAGGATGCAGACCTGACCAAAATCCACCTGAAATCAACAGGAAAGACAGCCTCTGACTCTGGCTCAGGGCTGTAACAGAGTTGTGTTTGAGCCCTAAGTGCTCTATGTATTTTCTCTTCTCAAGTTTTTAGTTGTCTTTACTTTTCAGGAGAAGAATGTCTCCAAAAGCAAGGTGTATCCCCCAGGGTGTGCACAGAGAATAAAGGAGCCCCTCCTTTGCAAAACTCAGTCTGAACTTGAAACTGCTGGAAACAGAGCACAGAGGCAGAGAAAGAATTAAAGCACAAACCGAGCAGCACAGCAGTGAATTTGTGTGATGGGAAAGGGATGCTGTAAAAATGGCATGCTAAAGTTGAATGAATCAGCACTCTGCCTCTCCTCCAGTGATTTCAATGCCAGATTTGATCTGCAGTTAACATGGCCTTTGAAAATCAAATCATATTCCATTTGGTTCAGAGTTTATCCTAAACAATAGCAGGTTCAGGTCTTACAGGCTGAGTAACAACGGAGTGAGACATGAACCAGGCAAAAACTACTTCATTTCTGTGCTTCCAGCCAAACAAAGAAGTGCTTGCAGCATCAAAAAAATAAGCCATATTTTAATTTGGTGAGTGGGAAGAGGAATTAGAGATGTCATTGTTGTTCTATGACTCGAGCAGAACCTGGTTAGACTGTACCCACACTGGAGGATTAAACTTACATGAGGCCCTAAAAAAAAGCATTGAAAGAGTTCTGCTTTGAGAGTGGTCTGAGACTAAAAAAACACTATCCATGATTCCCCTTTCCAGTTTTATGAGCACAGCTTGTTCATTTAAAGTAAGGGCCGCAGAACAGGCACCCTGCCAAAAGACAATGTGCACTGTCTCATTATTAATTCAGGCCTATAGTCAGAAATTTTCATAGCTCTGGAAAAGAGCCCCATCCTGTTCCCACTTAAATCAGTTCTAGTGACTTCACTGGAAGCAGGTTGATGCCCATTACCTCTTGATAAAAGCAAGTAAAAATAACGGAAATAATACAGCTAGAGTACTTCTGTATGCTTATTCTGGGTCAGTATTTCACATAGCAACAAACAAAACAAAATCACCCCCTCATCACATTCCCAGTAATGACTGATCATTTGCAGGCTCTGAAATTTTTGCAGATTTATGAAGGAGTATTTAAAATTTTCTTCCTTTTTTTAATTTGTAGTATGTTGGATAGGGTTTTTGTGTGCTGTTAATGCACAATACTGATGGTGGCTTGAGTGGTAGTGGTATAAGCTGACAGGCTAACATATGAACACAGGTTTGAGTCTATGGTTGGCTTTTAACTTGTTTTGGGACCTGTCTGGGAAACAAATCTGGGAGTTTTGTGTATGAATTCCCCATTATTTTTGTGACGAAGCTGTGTATGTATATGTGATACCAGTGCAATGAATCAGAACCACTGTGCTAAGTACATTTCCCAGGCCATTGTCTCTCATTGCTTTAATGTCTCTCATCCTCTGACTGGTTTTCTTTTTTTTTTTATGGTGCTCTACTTTCTGGCAGTGGCTGCCAGCTGAATGTTTGTGTGCTCACATCCCAGCCTGACAGGATGGACCATCCTCAACTTAGTCACCATTATCAGTTACTGACAAACAATGCAATTCCCATCCCACCTCCCCCACAAAAGAAAACCTCTGTTTCCTTGTTTTTTAATTATGTATCTTTAGATCATCACTTAGGGGACAAACAGATTTTAAAAAATCCAACTTCTGCCATTTGTGTTAAAATCGTGAGGATAAGAAATGTTCTTCTGTATTTGGACTTATGAGTTGGTAACTGCATTTATGCAATTTTTATCTCTGCATTAGAATGTTGACCCTTTTTTTTATTTTTATGTATTTATTTTTTTTTAAGAATCTCATCGGTCTTGTAAGAAACAGTAAAAAGACCCTATGCTCAAGGAAGCAATTTATCTTCTGTTTTACAGACTTGTTTTTAAATAAAATATTTTTTGTTGTTGTTGTTTTTTTTTGTTTTTTTTATATTTTTTTGTAATTTTACTTCCACGATCTCTTATATGGAAACCCTAGAATATCATTAATATAAAAGTCTGCCTAGGCTACCACTTCTCTATAATATGGCTCATGTAGTCCTCAGTGGGCAAACGTCCTTGCTCCTCGGTCTCTTCCTTGGGAAGCGCTTCGTTGGACCGGTGAAGAAGCCTCTCCTCCCGGTTCTTTATCCTCTGCTCCATCCTCTCCAGCTGCCGTTTGTACTGGTAGCGCTGTTGGAAGAGGTCCTTTGCATAGTCATAGAGCTGCATGTCCAAGTCATTGAGCTCCTCGATCCTGCGGATGGTGTCGTTGTCCACCTCCACCCCGCCCGCCCGCGTGCTGTTGTACTGCATAAAGGGTCGGATGAATTTCAGGTTAAAAGTTCTCTCAAACAGGTACTGAGTCTTTCTCTGGAACTCTGTCAGGCCGAAGAAGGCCATGTCTTTGAGGTTTTTTTTTGCGCTCTCCAGCAGGATCTGTGCTCGCTTGTTCTCTGGGATGAAGGACATGTTGTAGCAGCCCACCAAGCTCAAGTCAGCCAACATCCTCACTTGGCGGTTGTTGGCTAAATTATACGGGCAATCCATGAACTCCTGCAGCGTGCAGCCCGACCAGTCCGTGCCCTCGTAGCACGAGGGCAGCTCTTCAGGAGTTGGTGTCCTGCCATCACACATGTGCAAGGAGGTCTTCCAAGTAGCTCCTCGTTGAACATGACGCCATTCGCTGAGGTAACGAGATACGGGGTCTCTCAGCAGAGTGATGTAGTAAAATTTTCTACAAGAAGAAGAGAGAACAGAATAAATATTCTGCTAGTAACAGGACAGATGCTTGGCAAGCAGAGATCTAGTGCAGACAGCAAAATCTGAGAGTAAATCAACATCCCATCATCCACTGGATTGATAACCCACTTGGTTATTATTGGTGGATAACCCACTGTACTTGTGGATTATTTTTCTCTTGCAATATCTCCTGCAAAGCAGTTTGTGCAACATATAGACCCGTGTTTCTCATTTAAGCCTTGCCAAGTAGCAGGACCTTCACCAGGTTGTCCATTCCCAGCAACAAAGTCAGAACAAATCACCAGGGCTGAACCTGTCTATTGACTTCAGCGATCAACTGCGGCTCCTGGCACTGCCTGGCCTTTCCCACCGAGCACCATGTGCCTGCTGTGCCAGCCAGGACCTGCTCCAGGACAGCCCAGCAGCCTCTGTGAGCTGGGCCTATCACTCCATTCAGATGCTGACCAGGACACCCACAGCTTGATTGATCTGGCTGCTGAGTTGAAATCTGGGACTCACCTGCAGCGAGTAGCAGGATAAAGCCACAGGAACATAAATGAAAAACAATGGGAAATGAGGAATGCAATATGCTTTGAAGACAGAGAAGGCTGATAGTGCTGACAACCAGCAATAGCAGCAGTAATTTATTCCCATTTCAGTCAACCTGGTATTAAATCAAACAAACTTCAGACACACTTTTGACATGAGACTAAATAGAAGGGAAAAGCAAGACAACGAGGAAGAACACACATAATGACATGGGGCATTCTTGCTGTTCTAAGAATAATGAAGCCCCCAACAATACCAGCTGTCCCTAGAACTGAGAACATGACAGCTGTCTCTAACAGAGACCCTCTGGCTTCAGCCCATAAAGTTCTGGGATTGACAGAGGTGGCGGTCTGCAACAGCCCTCTCCACAAAGAGGGAAATGGGCCATTTCTTCCCTAACTGCCAGCAGCATGGGACTGAGGTGTCTTTGTGTTTCTAGAAGGAGGAAATACTTTCTCTAGTCCCTAAAGCTGCCACGTTCTTGCAGGGCATGGGGCTGTGTGACACTGTGCACACACGGAAGCACCTGGCTTTGGCAGGGAGCACACACGTGCAGCTGGAGGTGTTGCACACAGGGGTGGTGGAGGATTCGTGTTCCCATCAGAAATGCATCCTCAGACTGCTGCCAGGGCTCACTGCCTTGCCAGAACTGCTCAGGAACACTGAATGTAATAGCCATTGAGATGGCAGTGAACAATTTTTTGAGGGAAAAAAAAAATAGTAAAAGTATTCTCTTCTGGCTAATTTTAACACACCCGTGTTTTCCTAGCACCTTCAGTATTATTGTTCCTAGTAGTAACTTAAATTTCTGCAATAAGAGCAGTTTAATTTTAAAATAATACATCAAAGCCCTTGCCCAGGAAGTCTCATATTAAGCAATGTTTGCTTTCCTAATTCATTACAAACTTGCTGAAGGGCAAAGTTTTTTGGAACACCAAAGCAGTCAATTTTGGTCTTTCCAACAATGGCAACGGGTGTCCATTCCAGCTCCAACTCCTCTCCCACTTCCTGCCTTCGTAACTAGGGCTGGTAAAGACATTTGTTATTTTTGGAAACTATTCCATGTCTCTTCAATAGCAAGAGTTATCTTGTTGTCTAGTAATTTCCAGTACTGTCTGTGTACAGGGAGAGGGGAGAAAAAGGGGAGCAGACACTTTCCTTCAGTCTACCTCTTTTTCCTTCCTGTAGTGATTCCACTACCCTGAGTGAGAGGCAACCATAATTTATACAGACTGAGCTAAGAAACCTCCAATAGACGAGATAAAATATGGCAGTGGAAAGAAAAGGAAAGCAGTGATGAATGCCAGATGTTCAGTGACAGACATTGGTGCTAAACACTATCAGCAGTTTTTGACTTGTGAACTGCTGAGGACTTTTTATTTTCACCAATGTAATCCAAAGGTTGCATTTTTCACTGAGCAGGTCGAAGTCATTTATTATTTTGTGGCTACAGAAGCAAATAGAAGTTTGCTTCTCCCTGATCCCGAAGATCAGGGACTCATTTGTGTGTGAGGTATCCACGAAGGAGGAGCTGATTCCTGTCCAAATAAGCCATCTACACAAGTACAGATAGGGAAAAAAGGGAAGAATTAGTATCTGCATTTGGCAGAAAAGGGGAAGCACAAATATTAAATGATATGCGTAAAGTCAAACAGAGGTGGCAGAGTTGGCATGAATCTGATTCCTGCAAGCCTGAGTCCAGCTTATCTTCTCTCTGTCTCTGTTTAAACTTTAGGAGACTGTTAGTAAATCAGATTAATAAATATCATGCAAAGCTTCTGGAGTCCATTGGAACAGAGACATTGAACAGGACATGGATTGGAAAAAGCTTAAGGAGCAAGTACTTCTTTCTTCACACCTGCACTGCAACTTAGTTGCTGTAATGCCCTGGTAAATATTTTACCATGAGTGATAATTCCCAAATATTCATCTCAATGAACAGAAAGCACAGGAAAGTAAGTTACAATTTTTGAAATTCTACTGAATCCAATTTTCCCCTTTCCAGGTCTGTCACACAGAAAAGTGCTTGAAGGGAAGAGCTTGCCTCCTAACACAGAAATCAGATTTATCTTTGGAAACTGGAACCAGGGCCCTGGAAATGCTTAAGGAAGCTGCCCCAATGGGGCATAAATAAAATAAAATAAAATAAAATAAAATAAAATAAAATAAAATTAAATTAAATTAAATTAAATTAA